CATTCTATGATTCTATGATTCTATGATCGACTATATTGTTCTGTATTCCAGTTGTTAGAGCTTCTGTTTCCAATTTTAAACAATTCATCCATGGAAGAAGCAAATCTGTTGTGACTGAAGCACTGATTTAGAAGAAAATATTCTCAGATTTCATTCCCTGTTCCTAATATCTTGTCTCCAGATTGACCTTGAAGAGCCACTTGGATGTTTACCTTAGTTCTGTGTCTATAAAACAAGATTAAAAGTATTTTCTTTCTCTCTACTCTGTTAGGCTGATGAGGCCTAATACAGGCTGGGATGTCTAGATAACATAACATAACATAACATAACATAACATAACATAACATAACATAACAAAACAGCCTTCATTTATAACACGTAAAAAATGGCCAAAGCATTTACAAGTTTCGAGTGTGCTTCAGTCTTATTTTTTCTAAGAGGTTTAAGAAATAAATTTTTCTGTTTTGAAATGAGATTATGAGTTGTTGTTAGGATTTAGTTACCAAAGGTTAGTTTTCATGGGGTATTTTTTGAAAATGCTGTCTTTAGTTTACTGCCTAAACCCATTTGTATACATAACAAGGCAAGGTAAATATAAAGAAGACTGCAAAATCCATTTGTTTTCAGTAGAGCTCTGCCTGAGGATTTGCATTTGATATATCACCTTTTTATGTTTGGTTGGGGGGAAGGTTACATGGTGGGGATTTAGAATACAAATTTTGTAATCAAAATTAGACATTCTTGATTGTTTAGTAATGTGATTTCTATTCATGGTGCCCAGCATTGAAAAATAATGCACAAGAGGAGAGAGCAATTGAAAGTTATTTGATTGCAGTCTTTAAAAACATGAAGTCTGTATTTAGCTGTAATCAGCTGCCCTTTGAAAACCTCTTTTCTGCTTAAAAACAGCCTTTGTACAGTCTGCATCTGCCATAATTGGTTTTCTAAAGTCTATAGTGTTGCTTCATTTGCCTTTCTTGAAGGGGGATGGAATAGTTTTTCATAGGCCAGAAATAGAGTCTGCATGTGTATTTCTCTGTTACAGTTTTTTTAATAAGTGTCTATTTGGAATTTCATTCTGCTGTTTTTCTCTCTTTTCAGCTTCTGGTTGGGATCATTCAAGCAGCTGAGCTGCCTGCATTAGATATGGGTGGTACGTCTGATCCCTATGTCAAAGTTTTCCTGCTGCCTGATAAGAAGAAGAAATATGAGACAAAAGTCCACAGAAAGACCCTTAACCCTGTTTTCAATGAGCAATTTACATTCAAGGTACTTTTTTGATAATTATTGAAACTCTTTATTTAACCACTGTGCATCTCATGCTTGGCTACAAAGTTAAATATCTTAGTTAATTGGTAACTGCAGCTGTGATATGTCATCTTAAGATGATAATGGTATAACATGGGGTCAGACCTCAGTAGGTGTAAAAGGCACAGTTCGATTTTAGACACTTCAGTTATCCTGATGTATAGCAATCTGATCTATATTTTATGGCTGAATAAAACTTACAAGAAAGTCAGAAAACAGTGACACTTTGACAAACGTCAGGTAAATTTCACTAGACGAACATTTTCTTTAAATATGTTTGTAGTCTGATTTATGAATTTCAGTATACCATTTCTTTTCCCCTCAAAACTAAATTAAAACTCAAGGAAGGTAAATGGATGAAGGACAATATGACAGATTAATCTTGCTAGACTTTGTAATAGAAATTATTTGCCATGCTACTTTACATATGAAAAGAAATAACCTCACAGGTTTAATAACATATGAATTAAATAGATGTAGCTAAGTGTTACGTCACAATATTTAAATCATTCCAATAGTATCTATCAATAGTGTTTTTCTAAAACTGTAGCTGTACCTAAACCCCAATTAAATACAATAAAGGCATACTATACAACATGTTTCACAGGGCTTCTCCTAATATAGATTCCTCTGCTGTTACTTTATGCCTTTTCCTCTATGCCCAATCTTATAAAGACAGCTACAGATTGAAAACAGGAACAGTGAAAGACTCAGGCTATGTAATAATTCAATGTGAAAGATATCCCTGGAGGCCAGAACTACTACTGCATATATAAGCTTATTTTTTCCCTTCAAGATGTTCATAAAAATAATCTTTTGTGGAGACTTATTTTTTTCTTGAGCTTTCCTAAGAGAGTATTTAAAAGAAAACAGAGTTATAAATTACAGATTCCCATGCAGCTTACAAAATAAAAGAACCAATAATGCTGTAAGTTGAAGGCACAAATTATAAGTCAGATCATCCACTCCTGTGCTATAATGTCCACTTGTTTGAAGTCACATCTTTAAGATGCTTCAGAGGAAAGTTTGCTTTCCACTTTCCAGAGTGTTTAGGTGCATCACAATAGGGTACTGATCATCCTCTGCATAATGTGGTCTGTACTCAAGAGAAAAACAACGGAGAATGCCAAGTACTACTGTTGTTCTGGGGACTACAGTGAAAAAGACAAGCGACCATTTAGCTAGTGTTGCAACTGTGATGAACAACTTCTGTGGGAACTATTGACAATATCTCATTTACTTGGGCAGAGTCTTACTTCTGTGACCCACTCCAGGTGGTGCACAGCCTCTCTTGGCATCCTTCCCATCTCTCTTTTTGTCCAAGCTGCCCACCAGGCAGCCCAGGCCCATTTTGTTACCTTCTCCTGACTTCCTCCCAAAGAGCTCACAAGAGCTGAGGACGTCCGTGGTTGTCCTGAACAAAAATGTAAGCTGAAGCTACTTCAGAGGTAATGAATGACGGAAGCACTAACACTAGATCTTCTTTAAAAAGGAAAGTATACTGAGGTCAAGTTAATGATTAAAAAAAGGGGAAATAATGATAAATGTAGGCTTTTCATGCATTCCAAATGACCGGGATCCATTAAGTGGTAAACTGATGGAGACAGAAACTTTAGAATGTTTCTCTTCTCCTGTTTTTGAGGCTGTGTAAAAATAAAAGTGAAATTATTTAGAATTTTGTCTTCCACATACATTTGCCTTCTTTAGCTTTTTAGGAGCTACAAATACTTTACAGAATCAAAATAGATTTTGCTATAGTATTTACAATACACAAGCTTGTACCCACTGAAACTGTTGTACTCAGAAACTATTGTACTCGAGTAAGCTGGAGCTGACTCTCAACTTGAAAAGCTTCTTTTAAACATTATATAACATGTTATAGAAAAGAATAACTACTCGTTATAAGTAGGTATTTTAAAAAGCAAGTGAAAGCCAGACAGTAACAAAAGACAACAGTGCTAGGGTTTAAACAGACCAGAACATACAACAGTTGACAAGGCCAATGACAATGCCACACTTTAATTTCTCTTTTTATGTAGACAATTAATAGAGAAATGTTTACTGAAGCCTGTGGAAACGATTTATACTTGCAGAATATACTCAGATTGGCCAAGCGTTCAGTGTAAATCCAAACAATTCCTAAATCAGACCTCTCCAGAAAGCCACTCAAGTGTAGCTGACCTGAACTGCACATCTTCATCTAAATATTAAAAATGTGACTCATAAGCATACTAACTGGCAGCATCTGTCCGAAATGCATCAGAACAGCTGGAGAATTAGTCAGAACTTGGCCTTCTGCCGCTACCATTTCTAACGGTACACTGTGACTTGGAAAGCACCTTAGAGTCTACGGTGTGAAAGGTATGATGAAAAATATGCCCTGGTAAGTAATAGGTAGCAGTACTGTAAGAGAACTATTTAGTGTCTAATTACTTTGTGTCAGTTACAGTAAGCCAACACTATTTTTTTCATCAGTCTGGGAGCTACCTATTTCTGAGTGATGACAGTTGATTTATTGAGGAAAAGACACCATTGTGTGAAAAGTTCATGTGTCTTCAGTGCAAATAATTGGGCTTCCTGTTTCAGTTTCATCACCCACAAAATGATTTGAAGTAGAATGAGAAAAACCCGGGGAGTGATGAGTGACCTGCCACATTGTTCTATCGAGTGCCAGAGCCTGGTCTCAAAAAACACTGCATCGGGTGACTCTGAAACAAATACACCTCATAATTTTCGCTGCAGTTCAATTTACCTGAGATGACAGCTGATAAACCAAAGAAATAGATTTGCATTGTAGTGGACTGATCTTTATTGTCTCAGATACAGAGTTTGTCATTTTCTCTGCTTTGCAGGTGCCATACTCCGAGCTGGGTGGAAAAACTTTAGTGATGGCAGTTTATGACTTTGATCGTTTCTCCAAACATGATATAATTGGGGAATATAAGGTTGCGATGAACACAGTGGACTTCGGTCATGTCACTGAGGAGTGGAGGGACTTGCAAAGTGCAGAGAAGGAAGAGGTAAGAAAAACCAGACTACTTTTTTTTTTCCCCCAGGACACTTTTATCCTCAGCTAGAGAAACAGTCAAACTAGCAACATTTTTTTTTGCCGAGACAGCTCCCATCTGTTATCAGCATTTCTCAGACTTACTTCGCCTGATAAATTTTTGATAAGCATCTTTTCCAATACTGATTGAATGGTACATGCTCCTTCGCTAATCCTATTTTCAATCTTTTTGATACTTTATGAAACATATTAAGAAAGTTTTCAAGAGTTTGACTTTTTATTGAATTGATGCCACTTGGGTACACAGAATTTGCATTTGAATTATAAGAGCAGTGTGCATTTAGGCTTCTTTGTGGCCCTAATAATTCTCAGTGTTTGCATCTCAAGGCATCTTATTGTGCATGAAGATAATGGTAGGTTTTCATTGAAATATCCTAGGGTTTTATTGAGCTGCTATGCAATAATATCCATTGATTAGAATTATGCATTTGACAAAGACCTTGGAATGGCATCTCACTCAAATATTAATCACCTTTTTTATTTTCCTCACTGTGCCAACTTCCTCTGGGTTCATTATTTAGTAGATACAGTGCTACATGTACACAAGACACTTTTTGGAAATATTTCATAATTAAATTATGGATCCTGTGAGGTTGTTCATACTGGCACATCCACCTTTTTGCTTATTATAAGACCATTTTATACTCTTTTTGTATGTTAGTTTTCCTTTTGATTGCCAGATGATATCTGCCCACTCATAACAGTCAGAGTGCACAGCGTGCTTCGGTTCTCTGGTGGGAGAAGAAGGAGTCTGAGTCTGAGTTCCTCATTGTCTAATTTAGCTAATAAGCTGCTTTGGATTCAGACTTTAGTTTCTGTAATTAAAAGGACAATCCCTGGATGAAATGTTTCCTTAATACAAGTGGCAAAAACTTGAATATTAGATTTAGACTACAAGTTGTGAAAAATTCAGCAGATGCTGAGCCACGCAGCCTTCTCAGGTTTTCAGAAATGGTAGATTTCAGTCTTGTCTTTTTGAGTGTTTGCTTTTAAAAACTGTATTTTCAAATGTCTTTCTTCTACTGCTTATTGATTTGAAAGCCACTGCTCCATTGAGACTATTCTGCATGGCATTGTTTCATAGTGACATTTGCGGGGCTCTCCTATTGCCTGTGACATTGGTACCCATGCTATATGGGGCATTTTTCTTCCACTCTTAGAGCTAAAGATGGAAACAAAAAAAAAGATAAAAAGAAAGTGTGCAGTTCAAGGCCCCGGTTCCTTTAAAGCCTCAGCATACCAGAAAACTAGAAATGTGAAATCAGTGTATTAATCCTTCCAAAGTTTATTAAGTATCAAACTGGACTTTTGTTTTAGTATTGTGTGCGATACCAAAGTGCTGCGTGTTTTTCTGTTGCAAAACACATAAAAGAAGCCAAATACTACACAAAGAGGAACTGAACCTTCACCTTTTTTTAGAACATAAACAGTGATATCCCCATATGCAGGTGGCAGGTAACATGGCATAGATTAGTGTGGGGTTTCGTCTGTTTTATGGCACAGAACATTGCCTCTTGAGTTTTCTAGCTCACGTCCACACTGAGACCTGATTTACTCCCTTGGTTGCTTCATAAAGTTCATATCCTGCTAATACAATATTATGTTAAAGTTGCTTGAAATACAGTGTGAGTTACTTCCAAAAATGCATTATGACTTGGAAATAACTTCTTATTAAAATAAAAGTAGGTAATTAAAAGAAATAATTCTTAAAGTATTTAGATATTAGAAGATTATTACAAGAACTTATAATAGCTTGCAGTAGGGATGGAACCTAGATTGTACCTTAGTTGTGCTTTCAGAGCCCAAATGAACTGACAGGTGTGTATTTTTACATGTGTTTGTCATTTGTCTATGCAAATATATTTGCATGAGAGTCACGTTAACTAGAAGAAACTAGCTTTTCTTAGTTCCTGTTTGAAACTCTGCCCTCACCTTTCTTCAGATTTCAGGTACTATATATATAGAAAAAACTGTAATTTTTTAAAAGTTTTTTTAATAGGGCCTTTTTGAAGCTACTACTGATATGTGGGTTTTTTGTTTAGAAGAACCTAGGCAATATCATCTTATGAAAACATTTGCACCAAGTCCCTAAATATTTTTTTCTTAATACAGGGGGTCTCCTGTTCCATTTTTGCATCTCTATACTCATAAGCATGCAAAGTATCCAATAAATATGGAAAAATATGATAACTTTGGTTAGTCAGAGAGTTTGTTAGTGTTAGTTTTCTCTATATTATTTGCAGTTTTCCTATAACAGCTCCTGAGCTTACTATACAAATAAAAACTGACCCCACAGAAACCAGTTACTCAAGATGTAGGTCAGTCAAGTGTATTTAATCCAAAAGCTCTTCAGTTATTTTTCTCTGTTATGCAACCTCTACATCTGTCATATATGTGTTGAGCCTGATTCAAAGAATTGCTTAGCCCAGTTTGGAAAAATCTCTACCAAGAACCAAGTGAGTTTCATCTGTCAATGGTTTGGGAGCTGTGTTTCCCTGGAAATGTCATTCATGTTTCCATATTTGACTGCTGACAAGTACCTCACAATCTTCGTTATCCCAGCCTCTGCTTGGCAGCAAAGATGCCATAAAATTCTAGCAGATTTTAGGAGATAATAATTTTGGGGACAAAGAGGGATGGGAGAGGTCCTGTTACCATAAACCTGTTATCAGCTGACACAGCAGACATTGCAGAATTCACAGCAGATACAGCTGTGACCAAGCAGTACCCCAGCTTCAGAATTAGCAAATACAGTACTGCGCATACAAAGGCTAACATGATTTACCTATGCCAGACATGTAGCAACAGACACATGCTTGTCTTCTGGTAGCAATCATAACCATGATACGGCGGTCTGGCTTACTAATTGTAAGAAAACATGATAAAGAACAAGTTAAAACGTAAACAACTGTATTTAATAAAAAATGTATGATGAATGTAATTCTGTTACTACCAAAAAATCTCCTTTTTTGCCCTTACAGCACTTAGTTAGGTTTGTCAGTTCTTAACAACCTAGTGCTAACTAGAATTCAAAATATGTTTGCAATTAAGTATCAGATGGCAAACTATCCTTAATGTTTTACTTATGACCCCTAAACAAGATGTATATACCAAAGCACATCGGTGGCAATTGTTACCAGTCACTTTGAAAGAACCATCTAGGTGGCATCAGTCAAACCGAGTATAAAAATCTTATTTTCATTTCACTTCATGTCAAATTTAGTCACTGCACATCACAGGTTATACAATTTAATTAACACTGCAATCATAGAAGGCAAAATCATTTTACGAGCAGTTACTCTTCTTTTTGCTCATAAAGCTCTGCTGCACTTTCCGTTCTTCTTTCTAAATGGACTTGAAATTGATGGCAAAGGATGAAGGTTTAATGAAATATTTGAAGCTCTACCTCTCACAGCCCAGCCATTTGAATGGCATCTCTCTGACATTGCATTCTCTTCTGGGAACAGTCTTATTAATATATTTATGTTGGTGGAGCACTTTGAAGGCACAAGGCTTTATGTAAGCTTTTGTTACGACTGTGAGAGGGCTTTGGGAATGTACAAGTCTGTACAATGACTGCTAAATATTGGGGAGGCCGCTACTAATGAGCTGCATTCCTTGAATCCTTTTTACCTGGCTGCTTTTAGCTCTGCTGTCCTTGTGAATCTGTGGAGGTGATTTATCTAGTAGTCCTTCAGTCTCATATGACTGAGAGCATGGGAGGGAAGAGTGGTAGATACTGAAAGATTATTCACTTTTACCAAGTCTGACATATAATGGTTTGGGCACCAAGCGCTAAAAAACAGATGATAGGAGCTTGCTCTTCTGTGTCATCTACCAGATGTCACTGCCATTAACTTTATCTGAGTACACAGTGGATCCAATATCTGTTATCACTCCGGTACAGAAGGCCAGACAGACCTCTTATTTGCTCACAGCAGTGTGAATCATACTGAGAGTCATCTTCTGAATACTTCAACTGATTTCCCTCCAGACATTTTGTTATATTGGCACTTAAATTGCAAACCTGTTGTAGCAAACATTCCAAGAGATTTCAGGGAATATAAGGAAGAGCAAAAACAATTTTTTCACTTGAAAGCAGTGGAGAAGCAGAGGCTTATTCCATGAGGAGAAGGATCTTCGACGTACCAACATCCACCACCAAGAGCCCTGCAGACCTCTTACAACTGCCATCACATAAGACTATGCATCAGGCATCCACCATGGATAGGTTACAGGATGGATGCATGCTCATTATCACAGTGGGTCCTGATGGGTATATTTTGTACACAGCTTCTGAGTTGGAAGACTGCCGGAAAACACCAGAAAGATGCACAACAGCTTCTCTCCTACATGATGCATAATCCCAAGCAGGAGAGATGCTACAGTACTGCCTTGCAAAGGGGTGAGATGCAAGCGGCCTGGGGAGTGGAAGACCAATTCTGTGAAGCTTGGCATGTAGTATTCATGAGGATTGTTCTTTCCTTCCTCTTCAAAAAATAAAAGTTGAAGGAAGGAGATGGAAAAGTGGGCCTAAAATGGGTATGTTTAATTCCTCCGTATGCTTTATAGAAGTTGGAGACTGACAGTTAGTAAGGAATCTAGCTTATTGAATCTTCAGCACTGAAACTTGCAGAAGGAAGAGGAAAGGACATTTTTACAAATGTCACTGTCAAATCACAGCAGCAAATCACTGTCATTTTCTGTTATATCAGAGATGGACAGATGATCTAATAGGCCTTTCCCTTCTCTAATAATAACACTTAGTTCTTGTACAGCTTTGCAGATAGCACAGTGCTTTGCAAAAGAGAGTATCATTATCCCTGTGGAGATGCTGTCAGAGTGTCAGACAAATTTTAAAATGTGCGATCGCCTTTATTTAGCTGCATATTATATTGGATCACAATGTTTTCTGTACGGTGTTCAAGCTTTCTCAAGTTCACTTCTTCTTAC